AGTTTGAAAAAATACACCTTTGAAAAAACAGCTTAGAACATTTAAAGAGTTTTCTCAAGAAAAATGTGTGATTCAGACTTCGACGGTGTAGACAGTGAAATCGAACAAGTTTCAAGTTGTTTATCACTAAGAAAAATCAAGATTTCGATATGAAAATGGCTATAAAATTTTTAAAAGCTGGTGTGAGGTAAAGAGTTGTGAGATTAGTGAAAAAATTACTGAAAAAAAACTACGGTAGACGCCGGAGGATTTACGTTGAATTCAGCAACAGTTTTTGTTAGCGCTACTACCATAGAAGCCAGCGGAATTACAATTACAATTGTGGTTGTAGGTTTAATTTTAATATGAAATAATTTGTTGGGATTATAATGTTTACAGGGTGCGCCAGAACTCGCGCCCCAGAGAAAATTTTCAAGTAAGCTAAGATACCAGGAACATGAAAAAAATGTTTAAAAAATTCTATCAGTCAAAAAATTTTTTTTAAATTTTTTTTTCAAAAATTTATTTTTTTGACATTTGACATTTTTTATATGTATTTAATGATACTGATGATCTTGTATATGTTTTTTTACAATTATTTAGTAAAGGGACAAAAATTTTGCCAATAAAAGCCACAAATAACATTGAACATAGTTACAATTTAGGATACAGCTTTCTTGTTTCCTCTTTTAATAGCCTATAGCAAAAAACTTGGAAAATTATTTTTCCAACAGAAATAAATAGGATCAAAGTGCAAACTTTAAACCCTCATAACTTCGAAATTTTAATAGATAAAATTTTTTTAACATTTTTTCCATGTTCCTGGTATCTTACCTTATATGGCATTTTTCTCTGTGGCGCGAGTTCTGGCGCACTCTGTATAATATAATAACGTATAATAACGTTTATGCTATCAATAAATGTTTTGTGGATTTTATCTAATTAATGTTTAAAATTACTTACCGTTCTAAAACAGTAAGTAAATTACTTACCGTTCTGTTTATCATAGAAACCGGTAAATACAACATACCGGTTTCGAAACAAACGCGGTAACTAATTAAAAAAGTGTTCTATCGTGCAAAAAAAATAGATAATTGCCTCCCAAATGAGAAAACTTTCCCCAAATTGGACCAAATGGGAAAATTAAGAAAAATACAGTGTTGAAAATCAAAGTAATTTCATTTGAACAGTTAAACAAAATAGAAAACTTGCAGAGACAAAGTTTATTTAAAGCAAACAATACCAGCATTGGGTCAGGGTTTACCTAAATTTGATTTCTTCAGCAAATGGATTGAATGAGAATTATAGTAAAAATAATTTTATATTTTTCATACTTCCATCGTAAATAAATGTTTAAATAATTAAACAGGAAATTACTCCATTCCTGAAAAATAAATATCTTGGGAAAAAATTAAAAAAATTGATTTTGTTGATTTTGATTCTAGAAGAAAAAACAAAATCTTTGATTTTTAAAAAAATTTCAATAAAGTCTAAATATGGGCTATCCCAGGCAGGTTAGGATATAGGAAATTAACATGGGAAATTAGTTTTTATTTTTTTCCGTTTGCAGGAGTAACAGAAATTAAAATCTGATGAGCTTGTAGTGCTCGAAAAGGGCTATCTTATCGACATTTTTATCAATTCTCCAATTAACTCTGTTTAGGCGAAAGCGGTTCTCGAAAAATCGAAATTTGATTTTGCCGGGTTAGCGTTACTAAGAAACGAACTATCAAGTCAAATTATGACAAATTTTCCTTTAGCAACAATGTCTTGATAGTTCATTTCTTAGTAACACTAACCCGGCAAATTCAAATTTCGATTTTTCGAGAGTCGTTTTCGCCCAAATGAAGTTAATTGCAGAATCGACAAAAATATCGATAAGATAGCCCTCTTTAAGTACTACAAGCTCCATCAATCAGATTTGATTTTGATTTCTGTTACTCCTGCACACGGAAAAAAATAAAAACTAATTTTCCATGTTAATTTCCTATATCCAAGCCTGCCTGGGACACCCGGTATTTCGAATACGGTTAGACTCAGGTATAGGGACGGCTGATAAAAACTCTCTCACCCGAAAACTCTAAAAAACATAGACTTCTATTTAAAATAACAAAGTTGATACCCACTTTCGGTGTAACAGGAAGTGCCGCTATCTTGAAAATATTTTCACTGAGCAGGACATAACCAATTGTTATTCCGGGTGGGGCATCCGTTACTCCCAAAAAGAAAATTCCCACTTCTAATTAAATAAAATTGTTGAATTTTTTTACACTTACCTGGGCATTAGTAAGGTACATACATTCTCTAATTTTTTGGTAATTTTTCATTCACAAACAAAGCCAAAAAAAAAACAAAAAGTAATTTTTTTCCAAAAAATTTAATTCTAATTTTTATACTGACCTACGCAGATTCACTTCCTACAATTGTTAACAAAATCAGAAAAAAAAATACCAATTAGATTTTGAATTAAACGCAATTTTCCATCTTAACTTTGAAAATCATTTTTATTTATGACCTGCTACTTGTGCCATCGTAAATTTAGGTGACAATGGGGAACTGCAATTGGGGTGAGATTCCAAGGTTTACAACAAAAAGACCCTTTAAAGCGGTCGGCTACCAGTAAATGATTCTTTTGTTGGCAAATTATACCATTTTGTCTGGTTTGTATTTAAATAAAAAAAGCGATTATTTGGCTAACGAAGTCAAAATTTGAAATTGTGATATAAAAGTTTAATGCGCTGACAGGTACAGATTCATTTAGTGTAAAAACTTTATAGGTAAATTAACAGAAAGTATTCATAAAACGGACAAAACTGTTACGGACTCATTTATTATCCAAAAAAATTAGAAAAATCCTCAAATTATACCCTATCAGTAATTAGGTATATGAAATATCGCCAGTTTTAATCAATTTGAAGTCGCGATTTCTCAAGTGCGCGTAACCGATGCCCCACCCGGTATATCCTATATCCATAATTTTAGATAATTATCATTATTAAAACTCCTAATACTTCTAATGTAAGGTTCAGCCGTCACATCCTGTATGCCCAACAAAAAGTACTACGATCCGCGAGCTTGGCTGCGTGCTGGCCAATATTATAGAGGAATAGAGGACATAGAATAAGGGACTAAAATTGCAATGAAACATAAATTTGAAAATATAAGAATAGAAAAATTATAACAAATTACAACTATATCAATGCTGAAGTACGGAATCAAATACCAAAAAGGTGTTATACTCGTAAGCAATTATAACAACGTCATAAAATTACAAAACTACACTTAGTTACTTAAAACTATCCCACCCCAAAGACTAAAAAAAACTTTTGTTTAATATAGGTAGCTACTTATAATACTTACGTTCCCACTTTTCAAAAATATTTTCACAACATTGTTAATATTGTTATATTGTTATTAATATGAAATCATTATCTGATAAAATGTACAGCAATCAAATAATCATTTTAGCTTTCACAACTTCACTAATATGTATGCGATATGTTTATTGCGGTATATTTATCAATCTCTTTTTAGATAGATTTTGTGATTAACCGGCGAAGTATTTCACACTTGTTTACAATTCTGTTTAAACAATTTTTTATTGTGATTTTTTAATTAAACAACTAAAAAATAAAACGTTTATGTTTTTGCTTATGGGCAAATCTTAGTTCTATTCCAGGACGAGGAAAACCATTATCCTAATCAACATTCAAAATAAAGGAAGCCTCAAAATCGATAGTGATATAGGCTGCTTTATCTCAAAATTAAATAAGTAGTAAACATTTAATTTGTGACAACGCTTATTATAATTGTGCAAATTACAATTATTTGTGAGCTAAATATAAATATTTATATGATCTTGTAAAAAGTGTTTTTAAAAATTATACTTCACCTTACAATCACAGATCAAATTTTGTTTTTGGTTTGTATTTTCTTGTTATAAATATGTATATTTTTAGAACAAGTGTTCATTTTCATAACATCTATTATAAATTTGCGAGTTTCTGCTTTCGTTTGGTGTGAAAACCATTTTGCTGTAAGGTACCGTACTTGTTTGCAAATATTAACGATTTAATGTTTGATTTATTTGTAAAATCTAATAAAACCAAATAACAATAGTGTAATGCATTCTTCAGTTTCAGCCAAACACATATAAATTTTGAAGTAATATTTTTTTGAAACATCACCTAATTTACTTAGCTCTAATACAAAAAGTTTGCACTTAATTTGGAATGTCTTTTCTTGACGCATTTGCTGGCGTTAATACTGAGATTTTGCTCGCTACATTGCAAACATAAAATTATAAACAACACAACTTGATGGGTGACCTTCTCATTATTATTATCTCTGTGCTTTGCCATAATTATTAGAGTCACCCTGTGTAAAATACCTTTACAATTTATTTTCTCAAAACGACAGTAGGTAAGTTTTGTTGATTAATATTCTAAGAGGGATTGACGGAGAAGACAATAATAATAACGATTTATGAGACGAATAATAATTTTTGATAAAATTAAATTTAAGACACTAATTAAAAATTGTCATTAAAACAAGTCAATTGAAAGAGTTTTATCAGTTACAGTTTTACTAATAAGCGTCATTAAAAAGTAATTTTTAAAATGGGTCCACATTATTAATGATTTTTATTTTAAGTAGTGTGGTTATTTGAGTATCGAGACACGAAGTTAATAACGTTACAATGTGAGAAATTTGAAAATTTGCGTTACTTGAGATGTTTTAGATAATTTGTAATACAATAACATCTCTTTTGTATTCTATTTACATATATGTGGAGTGAGTAAGCATCGACGAAGTATTCAAGTGAATTATCGTCGTCCGGAGACCTTAATTATTTGGGGTTTTCTTGAGTGAGTGAATTAAAACATCATATATCGGATGCGTGTCGAGTTCTAGAATCGATTTTTAATTGTGATGTCTAAATTGTAGATCCATTAGGAAGTGAACGTTAAAACAGTGCTTCTATATTCAAAGAGCCGGCCGGATATGTATGGTTGTTTAATAATTGTTTATTGTTTAATTGTTATAGCGAAATTCATCAAGTGGTCTGGCAGTTTCCTTTTGCCCACCACCCTTTAAAGACGTCTGGGCTCAAGACAGTGGCAGTAAGAGGTCAGCTGTGTTGACAAACATTTTGTCATAATGCACACAGGTCGATAAGTTTAGTTTTATAAGTAAATAGTGATAATAGAAAATTCTAGTCATGGCTAATAATACTTGTGAAGGCATGGATGAAGTCGGACTACTCCGGTACGTCATAATCAACTTAGTCTTCTTCATCGGGGTTGCCGGCAACCTAGCTGCCCTGTGGATCCTTTACAAATCGGCCAAGACCAGAAATAAAAAGCATGTTTTATTGCTAAGGTGTCTAGCAGTCAACGACTTAGTGGCAGAAGTTGGTATGTTTTCCATTATAACTCTACAAAAATACAAGTTGATTCCCGTGTATTGGATTTGTGTTGGTTTTGTGTTACTCCGTGCTTTTGGAATCGGATCGGGATGTGTTGCTTTTGTGATGGCCCTCGAGCGATGGTTGGCCCTTACAAGACCTTTCTATTATCAACAGGTAGGTCACATTTTTACTTGATGCGCACCTAACGCTAGCGTTTTGTAAACACTTATTGAGGGACAAAACACTTAGCAATTAGCTCACCCAAATATTGTCCTTTTAAGTTACTTCTATGCAAATTATCCTTCCTATATGGTGTTTATGCATATAGCCCGTTTTTATTAGACTGGCCTCTTTAAAAATGACATTGTTTAGCATATTATACTGAACAAATTTTTTATTACCTCAATATGACAACTTTAAATTTTCTTTGTTTAGATTCCTTTATTCGGACTGTATTATAATATTATGTACTTAATTAATACATTATGCAACACATTTTACATACCAATTTAAAACAAGTTAAACTTCTCGTATTTCAACTACTATAAAATAATTCTCAAAAAAACAAACATATTTATCATAACTGTCATTTAAATAATGACATTTAAGTAGCTATTAACTAATTGCTGCACTCTTAGCGTGAAACATTCCAATTATGTGCATGTTACAAGTAGGCAAATAAAATAAACAAATAATAATATATTTATTTCATAGTAAAAACGGTATTTTTTTTTAAATTAAGAACTGTCAGAAAACGTAATACCATCATAATTAGCACATGGCGACAATATTAGCAAACAGTTGAATTGTTTCTCCGTTTTGATAGTTCACTGTTTTTTTTCATTAATTGAACTTTTTTCTCAAATAATAATGTCAGATTTGTAAATCATCTATATGGTTCTTGAAATTAAAAAGTGTCATGAGATAATTTGGTCTTTTGTTTTTAATAACACTAAGAAAATATTAAATTAGAAAAAATTCAAAAATTTTGAAAAACAAATCTTAAGACACCAATCAAAAACAGTAGTTTAAATTTTTGTATTGACATTTATTTTTAAGCAAACAGTATTATATTTTAGTTACTCCTAGAATGTTTCAAGAATTTGACGAAGTCTAACTTAAATTAAGTTGTCAGTAGTGCATTAACATATTTTTTGACAAAAATTTTAAATTTACCCAAGATTTATAATTCAACTTTTGTATATTTAAAAAAAAGAACATCTTTATGTAGTTTCTTATTGGAATATTTGAGAAACTCACTGTTTTCTTGAAAAATTTAAAAGCAACATGGGAGGAAACTTTTCTTTGGGACAGCCTGTATGTATGCAAATGTGTTTATATAAATGCTTGTGGATCAAATTAACTCTGGAATTTCGATGTATACTACTAATATTCCGTTTCGTTTATCTTGTATGTGCTGTTATTAATAATAACAAAAAAGCTTTGAACCTAAAACAACAACAATATGCCCTAAAAACAACAAAAAATCTTAGCCTTGAAACACCTGACCTGGCATAAAACTGACTGCCACTAGATATTAGAACACTTGAGAAAAATGGCAACTTGACATTTATGAATGTTATTTTTATGACTTGATGTGTGCATTGCAAATGTAATAGAAAAACTATTTCTTCTCTAGTACGAAATATTTATTTAAATAGATATGTTGATTTAAGATTAAAAAGGTTTGCGTGCTGTTTATACATTGGTATTTAATTGTTATTCATCATGATATATGAAGAATTTTAATGAAATAAATTAATAAGTACTGATTCACAACCTTTTGTGTTCTTAATTAGCTAAATTTTTTGTAATACCTCTATGTTATCGTAATAAGATATGTGTATATGTAAAAAATATGAGTATATATTGACCTACTAAAAATTATATTTTATACAGGGTGGAACGGAAACATTTACCTACCAATACGTTATTAGCATATTTTCTAGGTCAGATTAATCTGAAAAGTTTTCAGTGAGGCAGTCACAAATAGCGCTCCAAATTTTTTCTTCAAGTATTTGTCTATTCGATTATTAACAAATTTTAGTAGTTTAGTTTAGCATTTATTAGTTTATAAAAGCTTATAAATAATGTCACAATTTTGAGCTATTATTAAATTAAGTTAAATTAAGTTAAAAAATGAATGCCTTCGAATTGTTCAATGACTATTTAGAATTAACTAATGAGTGTCAAAGATAAATGATTTTTAAATGTACCTAAAAAGTACCTAAAATATGTTAGAATTTTTGTTGCAAATCACCACATAACCAACATTCCTGAATTTAATATTAGGAATATTAGGATAGACTACTTATGTTTACCATACCGGTAGTATTTCTTTTATTTCTGGTAAAGCGTATAATAAACAATAAGTTCAACGAAATAAATCAATTAAAGAGAACCGTAAAATAAACCGAGTAAATAAACTAATTTATTAGAAATAATTGGTTTAGGAGAGCGGAAGCTAGTCATATTAAAAACCTAGTGTGGGAGTTTTTTTATGCAGTTATAAATAACCAATGGCGATTGCATGAGGCTAAATATGCTAAATATTTATTTACCTCTTCAACTCTTATTTAAATAAATAAGAATTACTTGCATTTTATGTCTCACATAAACAGGTAATCTGTGGTTATAGTTTAGAATTTAGTTAATTCATGGTCCCGATGATGCTTGGTTGGCGAAACACGCGTCAACGTTATTTTTGATTAAAGGTTTTTTGTATGTAAATATATGTATTTATTATAGAAGTTTTAATTCACTAAAAATTGGTAGATATTGATTTTAGTCGTTTGGATTATTTTCCTCTCAGATTATTATGCTTTGATTTCATTTTAATTTTAGTAGCGTACATTATTGAGAAGGATTTTACTTCTAAGCTGTAATGAATGAGATACTTTGAGAGTTCGGAGGATTTTCCAACACATAATTGAAGGGGCAAGTGGAAGAAGGTGTTATGTTACAAAATAGTATATTATGAATAATGATACGAGTTTTGTAAGAAGCATTGTGTCGCACGCACGGGTTTTTAAAGAAGTAAGTGCGACAAAATGCCTTATAAACGAGATATTATACAGTATTTTTTTCTACTTTGTTAAACAAAAAATTAAAATTTCGGAATGTAGAGAATTTTGCGGCAGTTGACAACATTGCAGGATGGCCAGGTGGCTATGAAATAAATTAATTGGAAACGTCATTATTTTATTCGTAAAAATGGATTCCGAAAGTGTCGAAGACGTTTTGTAATGTTCGTACGCCTCTAGAAATACGGACCTTGGCGGCAAATACGATGAACAATTTACTCTCTGTCAGAACACGTCACGTAAAAGTCTCAAAAGAAGCAGTAAGTATCTTTTATTTTTTTTTTGTCCTAAAGGTCCTATGACCTAAAGGTATGCGTAAGCACCACTATAATCATAATGTTCATTCTGAATATTTTTGCGATTATTAATTAAACCAAACACAGCAAAAGTTTCGAATTTGATTAATTTGATTATTATACAGTGATTATTATTGCCACATGGCCTTTTCTAATACTCAGTAGGCCGTAGGAATAAAGTTAAGTAAATGCTTCTACTTGTAATAGTAAAAGATAGACGTAATTTAGATTTTATGAGAAAGAAAGACACAAAACTATAGTAAAAGTTTTTGCTACATTTTATTCATATTACCCAGTATCTGCTTTGATTTGAGAGATAGAGTCAAATGCTGATGCCACAAGTCGCATTATGTACTTAACTCCTTCATCCACATCAAACTGGACTTTTTTTAAAAATGTTACTTAACATCACCTTTTTCGACTTGCTCATTCAATTGAGTGTTTCACTATAATCACCTTTTTCACCAAATGTTACTTTGGATTTAATAAAATTGACATTAAATGTGGCAGCATTGATATCATTCGTATTGGATTGTATCCAAGGTAACGAATTCATAAATTCTGATTTTGTAGCGCGGTGTAGAGTTTAGTTTAAACCTAAATAACTCGAATATGACGATATGAAACAAGAGTACCTTTTTTATGAAAATGATTGGGCTTCCAATTTTTGGTATAAGAAATAGGGATTAATAAGTTAAAAAAAAACTTATGCTCCAAAAACTGGAAGGGCCCCATAATCATCGAATAAACTATAACACAAATATTTTTAGCAAATCATTTTTTATGTCGATTTTTAAAAAGCTGTAATTTTTCATTCAGTTTTTTGTATCACCCAAAAAATAAGTAATAAGTAAGTAAATACCAAAGTTTATTAAATCGTGTCGAAATTTGGCATGGTGGTACATTTTGATCTTTTTACTATGCTTTAGACACTTAAAACAACATTCACCGAATTAGCAGAGGTCAAACTTGGATCGTGACTAAATTTGTAGTATACTTTGACTTCTTTAGTATGCATGTGTGATTTGACGTTGTTGACTCCTACAATTACCTGTACAAAAGGTCAAAATAGGTCTGACAATTAAAAGCATGTTTGATCGTGACAAATTTGATATAGTCGTAGATCTAGCTCTTGACTTTTTCAATCAGCGTCTGTCGACTTTTAGGTGACTTAGATGTCAGGGGTCAAAGTTGCAGTTAAGACTTTTTGTTTTCAAAGCTATTAAAACACATTAGTAAAAAACAAAAATTGTCAAATTATATTACCTATTTTAGGTTGTTTACTAAACCGACAGCAAAATTTTTTTGAGTTTCTTTTAAGAATATATTATTTTTTTATGCTTTTCGAGAAAATGCTTTGTTTTGAAGATCCAAGGTGATACACATTTTTAGACAAAAAATTTTAAATTTTTGTATGCAGACCCATAGGGCTCTACGATTTTCTGTACTTAAATAGTGATTCTGGCTTAATAATTTTGTTTTCTTTTGTAGTTAAAAACTATGAACCATTCAGTGTTAATTAAAATTTAATTCTATACTACCGTTTGTTACATTCGATTTTTTTTTATTTTATTTTACTATTTTTCACTTTTTTTTCATATGTTTACTCACACCTTTTAACCTCCTCTCTAAACTAATGTGACCTGTTTTCTTTCATCTATTAAAAATCAAACTACAGTAAGTATTTCAATTAAATGTTAAGAAATTTTTTGTTCAATAATAAAATTAAACTAATATAATCTTTAATAAAAGCCTCTAAGAATAACTAAAATTTTCAATTTGGTTTGATTCCATTTTGAATTATACATGCAACAGAATTGCCAATTCTTCTAATCTTTATAAAAGCTTGTGAAAAAATGCAAAACAAAAAGACATAAATAAAAGGAATTCTAAAATTATGAAGAAAACCTTTGAAAAAAGAAAACTATAATATAGTTCAGCTTTGTTATGCCAGTCTAGATTTTTTTGTTAAACAAGGGCATTCAAAAAGTAATCGTATTAAAATTTTGTCATAATTCACAAGTACGAGTCTCCATCAAGCATGAAAACCTGAATCACTTTGAATCTCGTGATCTTATATTAATTTCTTCTTTTTTTATTTTAGCTAGTCACTTACCGAGTTTTAAAAATATTTGTATTTTCGTTATGGTCCGGAGGAGCCTTATTAACTTATCTTCCACTTCTTGGTTTCGGGTTATACTACAACGGTAAATGTTGCAGATACAGAGACGCAACGGAGCTTCGAGATCAAATATATGCTTACATGTTCTTGGTTTTTGGTAAGTTGATTTAAAGTATGTCTAGGTATAACCACAGTGTATATAATTTCATTGGGGCATTGTCATTATCTTTTCCTGTTTTAAATTAAATAAATTCATCTATATGTGACCATTAGTTCTGATTACAACTTAAATTCAATTTTTGTATAATCTTTCTATTAGATGTTCTGTAAAATTTACAATCTGAGCAAGGAGAAGATAATTTTTTAATTGACTTGTTCTTTTTACTTTGACAATGGAGGTCACAGAGTTTAGTTATTATTTTTTTCTGTTATTTGTAAAAAAAATATCGAATGTGTAGAAGACCACACCCCATGAGTAGATTTGATTGCTGTCTCTTGTGGGTAGTTTAAAGTTTATAATGTATTACTTTAAATATTCAATATTTTGTTTATTATTTATTGCTTATTGTTCAGTGATAAAGAATAATTTTAAATATTACACTTTTTGATAATAAACATGATATATTTGTGTTGCTTGTGCCTTGAACGTAAAGAGTAGACATAAAGTGGTTGATGTAATTTTGAATGAAGAATCTGTGTTATCGTTAGTCCCTGCTGACTTTAAGGCTAAAATAATTTTCGGTTTAGAAAAAAAAATCATAAAAAACGCTCGTTTATAGTTATAGTACTGAAACGAAGTAGAATATAAAATGTTTAATGTTACAGATTGTTTTCTTCAAACATTAAGAAAAGAAATCTGTTGAGGATTATTTTTTCCGGTGAAAATCATGAATCTAAGTTTCCACTTTTTTTTTCAATTAAGGTTTCAGTTTGTCAGTTGTGTTGAAGTATCCTAACGGAAACAATTATCTTAAAAAAAACTCCACTTTATTGGATGTTTTTTCATGATAACTTTAACATAAACATATAGTTTACAAACTTGTTATAGGTACTGCGTTATGCTTATGCATAGCATTTTGTAATTTGACTGTTATATGGGAGTTGTCAAAAATCCGTCCACACGGTCGTGTTTTAATGAGGAGAGTTAGCAGGTCTACAATGAACAGTCGTGTTATGGCTGCAAAATATCAAACTCCTGAAGAAATAGCTTTTGCAAAATTGATGGCAATTATTTGTATCATATTTGTAGTTTGCTGGGCTCCTCAAATGGTAAAACAGTTTTGTTTTAGTTTGTTGTAATTTATTATTTATGTTTTAGATCTCAATTCCATTAGCCCAGTTTTGGAAAGGTTCAACTTTTGATGGGATATTTGCAAAAATGGCAAATTTTCTCATGTGTACTTACTTTACTTTAGACCCGTACGTTTACGTTTTGCAACGTTACATCGAAAAAAAGAAAATAGCGTTGGGTTGTTGTTGGCCGCGTCGATCCACGGGTAGTATCACCACTTCTTCAATAACAGCAGGAACGCCCACTTCCGTACTTCTGAATCCTCCTTCCTTTACTAGTCCCTCCATTATGTAAATTTTAACCTTTTTACAAGTATTTATTGGTTTCTTCAAGATATTTCTTAATTATACCACTTATCTTCGTTGCTTAGTATCTATATACGAGTCTTTGTTAAGAAAATTACTTGACCCAAATCTAACTTGATGAATGACTTAGATAACACTACATTGCATGTTGATTCAAAATTTATCTACCAGTAGGGCAGATGCTATTAAGAATACACTTTATAAACTGAACACTTCAAGGAATATCGACTTGTTCTCTAGTTTGACCTTTATAAAAACCCTTCCTGCTGGAAGTTTTATAGAACATAATATTAGGAATATTGCAAACTGTAATACATATAAATAGTGATAAAAAAAATAGAAATTTTTAGCATGCTCTGATTTATGTATTAAAACTTTTAGCGTACTTAAAAAAGTCAAAAACTTAGAAAAAACCGAGGTAGTGATAAATGGCACACACTTTATTTTCACAAATTAAAAAAAAACTAATGGAGACTCGAAAAAAATATAAATTTGTTGTCACTTTTTTTTCTATTTTAGTGCAGTACTGAGATTTTCTTTAGTTCAATGCGTTTTACTTACACTGCATGTATAGTTTAATTAATTTACATAATTCGTGCGTTTTAAACGTTTACATATATTTGTTATCAAAATTAGCAAAAATGTACAAGTGTTGTTTTTTTTTATAGAAGAATACGTCACATCGCTTCGGGCCGTGTTGCAAAGTGAGCAAGACGAAAAAATCTGTATTTAGATAAAGATACTTATAATTATAAAATATAGTACGTATACGTATATAATATATACTTATTAACCAAAGACTCTTGTGCATGACTAATTTCTATGGATATTTATATGTTCATTGTCATCATGTCTATTATAATAAAACATTGCAATATTTTCATAGTGTTTGTGTAAAAATGTATTCTTATAATTGTTGTTTTGTTATTTTTATTTTGTTAGTCTATATATTTAAACTTTAGCTAATCTAACTTCTAATTTATACACCTAGCATTTGGGTGAAGATAATTAGAAGTTACATTGGCTTTATTATAGGTGGCCACCTTTGTATAGGTATAAAAACGTAATTGTTTGTAAATATATGGTAAACTGGTGCTAACAAATTGTTAGAAGACTAGTTGACTGTGTATGAAAAATTGTTTTTGGATACAAGAACACTGTATTGTATTTTTGTTATATTGAAATAACAGACTGATATTATTTTTGTGATATAAGTGTATATAAGGTTAGCTCTTATAAAGTATATTAACAGAATTTTTGGAATCTTATTTCACGTCCTTTACTTGTCCGTGTTTAAAGTGAGTTATGTATTAAAATAGGGGTGCTAATGTTGGTCAATAATAGCTGGCATATGAAATTGTGCGGTTCAATATGAAATTTGCTTGGTTATCCGGTGTTAGGCTTTCCTATTTTCGTGCAATTTGTTAAAGGTCTAAGGTATAACCGGGTATAAATAAGATACTGTTCTTTCGTGTTTCTTAGTTTGCATGCGTGTTCACTGATTTCGCTCTTTTCTTATCTAGGGGAAATCTAAAAATATTGGAACTTTCATGCTGCCCCATAAATTAACCGTCTCACTTTCATTACCTTACTATTGTTTGGTTTCAAATCTTTTATCAATATACTTAACATTTTGATAACAATATATATCAAGGTTACATTTTATCAGCTTATATGTAAAATTCTTTGCTTATACATCTTTGGGTAGCTGTAAAACGGTAGGTTTTATGGAAATTTGTGGCCACGGTCAACAAACTCTATTTAGATCGGGCACTGACTCACCCTCAGTGGTGGCCAACTAGATGATTGTAATAATACTAATTTCGATACTCACATACCTCTCATTTTTAAATTTAACATCACATCTGCTAACTTTCCATACGACTTTTCATCGATTGATCGGTTGCGTTTTCTAAGAAATATTAAAATTAATGGTTTATGAATATATGTTATAGCAGTCGCCGCCAAGGTACACCAAATGCCATCGATGATAAGAACACATATAAATCATACATAGCTTTAGTTTTCTTTCTCTGTAAACCAGTGGCGGCCCGTGGGTCCGCAAACCGGGGAAGCAATCATAATACGAGGAGAACTTTACTTATCCAAAAAAATAAAGATTCATAATGATTAGAAAAAATAAGTAGTATATAAAATGTTACTTCTGGACCAGGACATTTGGCGTCTTAAACAACAAAGCAGAATCTTACAAATTTAGCTGTTTGCTCAAAAGTAAACAACCGAAAAAGTCCTAAAACCCTTCAAAAAGCATTAATTTTTATTCACCCCAAAAGTATCCAAATATCTGTAGACCACCAAAAATTGGGAACACGAAAAAACCGTTAAAATCTCCCAAATTAATGCAAAATTACCTAAAGAACGCCCTAACAAACTAACAAAATACCTTGTTTTTACACACCCCAAAATGGCTTTTTACTTCTGGACCAGGGCATGTGGCGTCTTAAAAAACAAGACAGATTCCTGTTCTCCCAAAAGTAAACAACCGAAAAAGGCCAAAACCCTTCAAAAAACATTAATTTTTATTCACCCCAAAAGTACCCAAATATCTGTAGACCACCAAAAATTGGGCACACCAAAAAACAGGGTCAAATCTTATAAATTTAGTGTTTTCCCAAAAGTAAACATCCGAAAAAGATCTAAAAAACTTACAAAATGCCTTCTTTTCAAGCAACCCAAAATGGCTTTTTACTTCTGGACCAGGGCATTTGGCGTCTTCAAGAAACTAGGCAGAACCTTAAAAATTTAGCTGTTTTCCCAAAGGTAAACATCCAAAAAGACCCTGCAAAAAAGAGGTATAGATACAAAATGAATATACTTAAATTCGAGTTTAAAATTAAAAATTGACACGAAATAAACAAACCAACCGAAATTATGTTTTTTTTTATAAATCAAAGGAATTCGACGATTTTTTTGATTTGCGAAAAAGTCTATAATATTTTCGTAAAAAGTTGCTTCTTGTGCAAGACCTTTTGTAAAATCTTTGTTAATTGAAATAAGTGACAAATTTCGTAGGCGGCTCTGTATCATGGAACATAAGTTTTTATATAGATTTAAGTGTGGAAAACGAACGCTCTACTGAGGCAGAGGCTACAGAAATCGTAACGCTTACGCAAAGAAATTTATACAATTCTGGCATACAACACATTAAATCGTTATCGTGAATAAAATTTATCATTTCCATCAACGTTTGCGCACTACCTAAAATTTCGTTATCTGAACATATTACCAATATTTCATTTTTTAACTGGACACTATCAAAAATTGGATATTATTTCATTAAGTCATCTAACAAATATTGGGGAAAACATTTTGAATATGTGCTGAATTTTTCCTTATTAAGAAGCTCGTAAAATTGTAATGTACCTAAGTCGACAAATCTAATTTCGATTTGTCCTATGCAGGTTTCCAAAATTTCAATAAAAATCTGTTTGTAATGTAGTTTTTTGTCGTGTTCATATGTCACTTTCCTTCTTTTTGATAAGTGGTTACTCTGGTTTGTTTTCTCAACTAAATTGCTATATATGCTGCTAAGTCGTTGAACTAAAGCAATTAGTCGCTTCTTAGCATAAGCAATATCGGTGGTTTTACGTTGCACAATTGTGAACACCACGTCTATCTGTTCAAAAATTAATTTAATTTGCCACGAAAAAAATGGAGTGTTCAAAATTTCTTTGTCTATTCTTTTTCTAAAATTGCTGTGATTGACTCTAATATGTTATTTTGGATTGTTTTTGAAGTGCCGGAAAATACTGATTTGTTGTCAAGAAATAATTTCAAATTAGGATCATATTTACTTAAAAAAGAAATTAGTTCCTTATGGTTTGCTTTATGTAATAAAGATTCGCTTTCGTCGTGTCCTCTGAGAGCTAGATTTTGAAAAGCCAAAAACATTATACAATCAATTAATCTTTTAATTATATCCCGATTCTGCTTGACTTCCGCATTGTAAGACTCTATTTGTTCATTTCTCGCATTATCTATTGCTATTTCTACATTCAATTTGCCAAGTAATCGAAATTTACATGTGGATGAAATATGCTCTTTGGATTTTCGATGCCTATCAAGAGAACGGGATAAATTTTTTGTCATTATATTCTGATTTACACCAAACTGAATTTTCTGTTTTTTGATTTAAAAGCAAACAGGGCCAACAGTACAGTTTATTGCGTTCAGTGCTCCCTGTTAGCCACTCACAATTATTATACCAGGACACATTAAATGTCCATTTGGACCTACCTGCTACTGTTTTTAAATTTGGAAGAGCAGGACGTGGTGTTCCTAAATCTTTTATAAACAATTTATCTTCATAATTTAAAGCACTAAAAGAATTTTGAAGAAAATAATCTACTAGGTCGTGACAATTTTGAATTTCTACCTTATCCAATTTAGAATATCCCTATACCTTAACAACGATCATCCACAATTAATTTTTAAAAATTCAACCGCGCCACCTAATTACTCTGACACGACATTAATTAACCGTTCAATTGATAAATCATTTGAATCCAATAATGCAATTTTTTAAAATTTGTAGGTACATTTTTGTTTGGGGAGGCAATGCCTGCTCTGCCTCCCCTGAGGAGCCGCCACTGTGGTAAACCTTTTTTTTGTACTTATTCTCAATACGCCACTGGTTTTATTGCAAAATTAAAATTTTTAACCACAGCGTACTTACATACTCATATCTTTCCTTCTGTATAGTTATTTATGTACCAAGGACATAATGGCGATGTTTACATTCGAAGGTAATAATTTGATAGTAGTAGATTGCCCGAGATTTATAAACGTCGAGTTATGCCAGAGGTTCATATAACGTTTTATTTTTCACTTTAATATTAATTATTACTGACAAAAAGCGTATTTACTAAGTATTTATAAAATTATAAAAACGAAGTCTATATTATGTTATCTCCATCCACGTGCCAATGGATCAGCCTAGAAGCTTCCATAAGAAAACGTAAACATTACGCACTTCTCAATCATAAAAAACCTTGCAACCCTTGCAGTAATTCTTATTATAAATTTACGCATTTTAGTCTGAGTTAAGTTTTAGTCTGACTTTGAATTAATTAATTAGATTATCTGATCTGATCTTAGTCCTGTCTCTCGAGCCATTCGTAATATTGTAAATTTATTGAAATAAATGTAAAAGTGAAGTGATAATAATTTTAAGTAAAATCAAATAATATTTAAAAACTGGTGAAAGTGTTTGTGATGGAAGAAGAAATTCCGAAAGTAATTTTTGAAAGAGCATTAAAAGCTGATGGCTTAAAAAATGACGACCACTCTTCGTAGAGTTTTGACGGAATTCGTGAAAGAACTCCTCTCAATTACTTTACACAGGGTGACACTTTACAAACTTTACACAGGGTCGCTAAAAATTATGGATACGGCAAAATATTTTCAGAACGGTTTAGCGGAGCACACTGAAATTTGGGAAACAGTTTACCTATTTTTTGGTCAAAGTTCAGGCGGCAAAGAGATAACGATCGATAAAGACAACATTTCCAACTTTCCAATGCTAAAAAAAACTACATTTTTCAAAATTTAATTATTTCGATTTTTTTTTAATAAAGTATGCATGTGTTACATCACAGAACTCAAAAAAGCTCTTTTTAAAAATACTAAATTTGACCCTTCTTGACATTAAAAAAAAAATCAAGTTAGCCTTATATCCCCAAAACAAATTGCGATAGAAGTTTGATAAATATATGAGGCGATGGAATTTGAATACTTTTAAGCGTATACCAAATTTCAATAAGTTTTGATGAATAGTTTTTATAATATTTAACTGTATCCATACTTTTTAGCGATACTGTATTTTATTACGTTTGATAAAGGTTGTTCTAGTGATGGGGGTTTTTGGAGAATTAAGAAGAGATGAGCTTATAAAGTTAATGGTAGATAACGTAGATGATAGAGGAGCAGTTGTTAAAAATTGAAGACACGAAAACTGGCGGTCCAAAAAGTTTTACTATTGTAGAAGAAAATGAAATAAATGCCCTGCAGTTGTACAAGAAATATGCAGCATGCGTCCGAAAGGACTAAAGAAGCGGCGCTTTTTCTTGTGTTCTCAAAAGGGAAAATGTACGGCCCAACCAGTTAGTAAAAACAATTTCGGTGGCCTACCTTCAAAAGTCGCAAATTTTCTGGGTTATGCTAATGCTAAAGGACATTGTTTGCGCCGTACATCAGCAACCCTTTTAGTGAATGCTGGTGCCAGTCTGTTGATATTGAAGAGACATGGAAAATGGAAAAGTGACAGTTGCATCAGGAAATGTTGAAGACAGTATGGCGTCTAAGAATAAGATATCTCGAATGATTGCTGGAGGTGACAAATCTGAAGGTGAATTCTCTAAATAAAGTGTGCTCATTTAATGAAAACGTAAACTTAAGAAATTTAGCACATGAATGTGATGTTAAATTTATTAGTGAAACATTTTCTAATTGTGTTTTTAATTGTGTTGGGCAATACGCGTAAAGTATTATTTTTTACCTTTACGCGTAAAGAATAATATGTAAACAACGTAAACTATGTTTATCCCAAGTCAACTACTGCGTTTTTTGAGTACATTTTAAAACAACTGTTATAGTAACACAAAAGACGAAAAACCAAATTTTTTTAAAGCAAAAAGCTTTTGGTGACCAATCGCCTTATTTTTCTTATTTTTTTTTGGTGATTGGTTTTAAGTACATATTATTGGACCATTTGCACTAGAACGCTTTTCCAAAAAGTGCCACGTTAGTGTCTTGTTTTTTTAAAGGCTGTTCCAAAATTTTGGGTTACCTATACTTGCTGTAAGAAAGGCCCCCTTAATAAGTAATAATATTAATCGATTCCGTCTGCTAGAATACTTATTTACGAATGCCGCATGGTCGCGTGTAAATTAATTATTTCAGGTTTATCTAAGGTCACAGAGTTCAAGAAAATAAATATACTCAAGTGATATAAGTTAGTTGTGCGTCAAAGATTATTCTCAATTTAATTTTATTAAAAATGAATTTTTTGGCGAGGTAGCCTCTATGGAAGTTATGTTATGGAAGAAGCTTAGGAGATAATTTAAAGAAAGAATGATCTTCCTTTGGAAAAATATGAGATATAACGTTAGAGAAATGATTTTGCTACTAGTATAAAACCTACTATAAGGTGGTATTCAAAATTAGGGTAAGAGGGGATGCAGTTAATGACGCAATAGATCGCGTGTATAGAAACGTTTCAGGCGCCGTAAGGCCGGCTTCCTTATCAGTTTAAGATCCATCCACAAGACGCTAATTCTATGCTATACACACGTGTTTAACTTAATGTAAAATTTACAGAGTTTGCGCACAAATGGTTAGAAAGAAAGCTCTGCACCATAACGCATTTTGACTAGGGCTGTGATTATAACACCTCGTTGAAGTTTTTTAGTTCATGATGAACGCGTTATATGTGACAGTGTCCATTCCGCTACTACTTGTGTTAGCTGGCTTCAACCACGCTCACGGACTTACAACATTTGGAAAATCAAATAACCAAGGCACGCAACAGCCGCAAAGACCAGCTGGTACGGATTTCTCCAAATATTTTAAAAATATTGATGAAGTTTTGCACGAATATGCGATTCTTGGATCGGTATTACTTCATCAACTCTCATCATGTCTATTCCTTATCTGCTCCTCACATTTTTTGTCTTTCACATCATTTTTATTTCTTCTGGTATTATTCTATTTTTTTTAGTCTTCTCAAAATAACCAAAAATAACAATATGCCTCTGTTTCAGCGACACCAAAACATTGTACAACTCAGGCCAACTGTTCAATAATTAAAGGAACTACATGTATAAAAGATCGTTGTCTTTGTGGAAACAACGAAAATCCTATTAATGGAAAATGTACCGCTTTGAAAGCAGGTAAGTATTAGAAACTGTTTATTTTGGGTGCAAAAACAGCGTTAGTGTCAGTTTAGTGTCATTGTGTTTGTGACATCCAAAATCATACAACAATAAGCACTCTTGTAGTTGGTGCCACCACAACTTTGGTTTTAATGCAAAACTGCAGAACCTGAATTAGGTACTCCAAAAATATATGGAACTGCAATATAACAAGTGTCAGGATTTGTTGTTTGGAGTTTTACGAGAAAAATCGATATGTAACCTAGTTTTAAACCTCGCCGTTGAGTTCTAGAAGTTGTGTCGGTAAAAAACGTAAGAAAATTTAAAACTTCTTTGAAAAGTCCTATCACATCTCACAATGACATGAAAATTTGTTTGGAAACAACTCATTCTTAGTTGCTTTAGTTGTGCTGATCGATGATTTCAGTTAGATTTAGTTTCAGTAGACAATTTTTGATTTATTTTTAATTTCTCTTTATAGGATGTGTTAATAACAATAAATAAATAAAGACAAAGAACATTTAAAAGATTTTGAAACAAAGAATAAGATAATAGCGAAATCCATAGCAACATCATTTTGCAACAGATTTGGTCAACGTTTGGTGTCTTTGGTGCTTTTCTGTTGACGAGCCAAAACCTCTTATGTTTCGAATAATGGCAAATCTGCCCTACTTTTGCATGTCTTGTTTGTGCGTGATCTTACTATACGTTAAATATTCGTAATCGTTTCCTGATAGTTATCGACACGTTCTTATAATAATGATCAGTTTGAAATGGGATAGGTTTGAATATTCACTATTACCGTTCTATCGCTACGAGGACATTATTAAATACCTTGTTAGGTATCCTTGAGTATCTTTAAAACTACTTTCGATGAAACTTGTTTCTGTTGTTTCATTTGGACTCGTACTTTTTTTCCGAATTCCAAATCGTATTGTGAAAACCGAAGAGTTGAGTGTTTCGCTTCACTCATCAAATTATTATCTAATATAAGTAAAGCACATAGAATGTATACATTTTAATTTCTATATAATATGGCGACTTGAACAATATTGCCTCAGAATCGTGTTGTAACTATTTAAACATTTTTTTTTTTCTTACACTGATGAGTGCGATGTCTACCACCACTATACTACACGCGGGGATACATTGAACAAGTTAAGTTTCGGTCAATTTTTGAAAAAGTTGCAGTTATATATTAGACTTCATTTCAACACCAGACGTGAATAGTATAAAGAAACCATCATTGTCATTACTTGCATGCATGACAATTAATTATTAAGCGACATCATCTTCCACTTTTTTTTAGTCAACTTTAGTAAATGATCAAAAATCTACAGTTTTTATTTTTATATCTACCTAAATATGCATATAAAAATTAAAACAAAAATAAAAATTAATTAAAAATTGGGTGATAAAATGACGTAATTGCCGAAAAATTAAAACACATTCTTTGGTCAGGCTTTAAATTATGCTCTTGGTACATAATAGTATATTTTACTCAGCCGGGAGTAGAAATCAACTTTTCTTATGTCAAAATTGTGACAGAAGTTAAAATTTTCTCCCGAGGGAGGGAAATGAACTTAACGACGGGAGCAAATATTTGCTCCCGTTACTAAGTCATTTCCATTCATTGATAGCCTCATTGTCAACAAAAATTTTTACTGTTACCATGGTATAACTGCTAATTTTAAAATTTTATTAAAGAAATACAGCCAATTTCTTGGATTTTTTAATCAAGTCGTGCAAAAAATAGTGTATACACCACTGGAGAGAAATGCTATTATTCCTTTGATGCTTTATAGCCCTCTGGCTATAAATAGCAGCTTAGGAATAATGGAGCTACTTCTAACTTGTAAGTATATTTTTAAGGATAAAAGTTACCTCAAACTTGTTAAAAAAATTCCATTTATTAATATATTAAATTTAATGAATTTAGATTATTTTGCAAAGCAAATAAAGCTTTGTATGTATAACAAGCATAATTATAAGATTGTAGCCCTCTGCTGTGCATGGAAATTTAAACATTATTTTATGTCCTTAATACATAACTAATTACTAAAAATTGAGAAAACATCACTTGCTGCTTATTTAAATTTTAGTAATCGTTCTGTATTAAAAACTTTTGAGCAACGAAAAAAAAGTTTTCTAGTTATTTTTATATGTTTCTGCGTCATAAAGCAATTGTTAATCGAATAAACAGGGAAATAATAAAAATACTACTTTTTTTGTTCCTGCTTTGGAATACAAAGAGCAGGCAATTTATTTTTAAACAAAGGCGTCACACGATATAGAACTAAAACTTCCTTGGACACGAAACGCGGGGTTTCAGCCACAAAGCTTATAGTTACAGTAGAATTTTTTAGTTGATAAGCGATTAATTTTAATAAGAATAAAGCGACTAATTAATATTCATATGCTTTGTTTGTGGTATGAATTATACATAAATGGCGTACAATGAACTTGCCACACCAAAAATAATTATTAATGATTTAAAAATTTTTCAGGGGCAAATCATTTATGTAGCTCTGATGGAGATTGTGTCGACGACGCTCACTGCTCAAATCCTCCTGCAAACAAGAGTAAATCCGTCTTTGGTCCTAACGACAAAATTTGTGTGTGTGATGAAGGACATGTGGAAACAGAAAGAGGAACTTGTGGAGGTAAATAATCATGATTGTTTCCTTAAACATATTTAAGAAGTTGAGTATGTCCTTCACCATGTGGTGAAATATTTATAAATGTTTCACAATTCAGAAATATCACGTTGCTGGTCAGATATCGATTGTATTATCTTCAAATTCCAAGTTTCTACTTTGTTGGAAAATTTCTACGATAACCACAAAAAGTAGTACCCACCATTTATTAATCGCTAAAAAATAAATATAGCGCAGATTTAATCAATCTAGGACATTGCTTTGAATTGCTTTTGTAATTACTAGAACTCATTAAAAACACAAGTTATTTTTTTCAACAACCCAAATATAAGGTGTGTGACCTTTAGGTTTTAAATAATATTCTAGAACAAAAATTACGTACGTTGGCAAAAAATTATTGGAAAAGCGTAAGTTGACTGTTGTTCTATACCGTAATTTGTTAATAGCGTGCAAGAAGTAGGGATTTACTGGTCATGTTTCCGACGCGTTAACATTTGCAAATAAATTCTTGTGACCGACTTATTTTTTATCGTTCATCATTTACCAAAAATTTTATACAACTAAAATATTTTTTCACTGCACGAGGTGTATTTTCTTAGTATCATGTAATTCCTACGATTTAATTGAACCTGAAATACAAATTCAAATTAATGTTAATCGCAATAACATTCCTCCCGGTGTAGATCAATATTTCAACAAACTTATAAAAGAGTGCTTATTTCTCCATTATTGTGATACTAACAAGTCGATAATTATAAAATTTTACAGATTTTGAAAAAAAACTTGTATTTGTTCTTAGATATTTAACATATGCAATTAACAGAAAAAGAAACAGTTTAATTAGTTTTCCAGTTCAATACTCACAACTTTACGCGGAATATTTTAAGAAAAAATAAATAGAATTTTTGTGGTATTTTGAAAAAGAAAAAAAATAGTGCTTTGTTAAAATTTATCTGGTGGTACAGAAACATACGTCGCAAGCAACTGGAATAATAGAGAACACGAAGAGGAAGTAAATCATTAAATATGCTTTTAGTCTTAGGACATGATGAAGAAATAAGAAGAAACATTTTTTTAAATTTTAATTTAACTAAAAAGTAGTTTGTTATAACAATTTTTTTGTTGGAAGAGACAAGTAGCGTATACAGGCTGTTCCGGCTATACCCCGCATTAGAAGTATTGGAAGTTTTAACAATGGTATGTATATAAAATTTTGTTGATAGCTATAATCAGTGAGGTCCTGTTCAATAAAAATATTTTCAAGATTGCGGCACTTTCGGATACACCGGAAGTGAGTATCAGTTTCATCATTTTAAATAGAAAATTATATTTTATATTGTGTTTTCGGATTACTCAAGTAAATTTGAGAGTTTTCATCAGCCTTCCTTATACCTAAGTTTAACCGTTTTTGAAATATTTAATTTTTTTTGTTTTTGGATTTGCATTTTCCTATTCAAAAATCAAGTTATAGATATTTAAAGATTCCTAAACGTAACTTTAAATTTTGGGGGTTTTTATTTTTGCGATTATGAGTACACCAAAAAAAAATTCTTTTATATACTCAAATACGACTTCAAAATAATAAACAATAGTAGAGTTATCGATTTTTACAGAAGAAGGTAGAAATCCAAAAAATTTCAAAAAAGTGTAAATATTTTGAAAATGATGTTAGAATTAGGTCTAGAGAAACTTGATAACAACTACATATATCAAAATTACTTGAGTAATTCAAAACGTAACTTTCTATTTGATACCCACTTTCGGTGTATCCGGAAATGCCACCATCTTGAAAATATTTTCATTGAGCAGTACCTAATCGATTATGGCCATAAAATTTGAAATAAATATCATTGTTGGAATTCCCAATACTTCCAATGTGTGATTTAGCAGGAACAGTCTGTATAAAGGTTGATTTTTTAAAATGAGCCACCCTACATTATTCATTCATAATATAAACAAAAATTAAATTAAAATAAACAAAAAATCCGAGACAGGTCCATTTTTATTTACAGGGTGACACCTTTTAGTGTAGTTTTTAAAGTTGTATCACAAATAATCCTTTCAAAATTGTAAATGGCACCACCCCCTTTACGATATCTTAAATGAAAGATTCTTTGACTAGGAATTCGGCTGTATATTTTGTTTGAATTTCGAGTGGTTTTATTTACGTTACGTAGAACAAGATATAGCAGAACAAATTACTATAAAAGTGCAAGGATGAAAAAATTAGAAAATTGACATGTTTCGAGATTTTTTAATTTTTGTTTATTTCCTGAGATATCCAGGGTGGCTTGTTTTAAAAAAAATAACCCTGTATTGCATTTTTTAAAGCAACTTCGTTATGTACAAAAATGTTCCAGCAGAAATATTTTATTTGAAAAGAAAGAGTTTTTACGAAATCACAATTTTAAATTATTGTTTTTGACAAAACATGGGTCCATCGATCATGGACGGAGTCAAATAGATTAGAGGAAAGTTGTAAATATATTTTTAATTGAATGTTTGTTATGAATAAATAAAGAAAAGTAATTTTATTTTGTAATTATTGGGGAGAGATTTGGGGCAATAGTTTCTGGTTTACATTGAATTTAGGAATTCATAATCAAAATTTAATGGCTAGCAATAAGTCACCTGTTTAAAACTTAGTCTTGTTGTAGGAGAGTCTAACTTCTTCGTGTTGCCTGGACTAATAATGATCGCAACGAGCCTCTCAAGGATACTGTACTGAACATCAGGATACACCATATGAATTGAATTTTCACCTTATAGATACTTCTTACTTTAAATTAAAACCTTGTTGTATTGCATGTTAATTAACTAATAATTTACACAACTTTTGCAATAATTGTGTTTGAGATATGGTAAATTCTTTTAACAAATGTGTAATGTGTCAAAGTTTATTTTTCGCTATTAATGTTAAAGTATGTACTTGCACTATTAGTGAGTTAATAAATGTTACATGTGTAGTCGTTTTATCTATTAGTTGTTCATTATAAAACTGAATTTATTAATGGTGGTATAAAAAATAGCAACATTGGTGCATTATGAAAGTACAGTTGTAGAATATTGTTATTTATAATGTGCTATTTTAACACAATCACTTTTTATAAACGTCATTACACATGTAGAAGACTAAACGGAATTAGGGCACATAATTATGTATTTTATAATTCACTAAAACAGACAAAATATATTTATTGTAACTTTATATATCTTACATTATATTCCATAATTTATAAATAAAATATAATAAAACATAAACTATCCCCTTATTGTGCAGCAAAATATCGCAATACAATCAACATGTTCATCGCTATACATATAATAATAATAATACATTTATTTATTAATAATTATTTAAATAAATAGTTTTTTTTTGATAAAGTGGATGCCCAATTTCGATTAGTAACACAGTGTGATCATTTGATTTATAATTAGAGCAGGTAAACATTGATTTCTGTTATACATTTAATAACACTAAATTTTATAAATAATCATACTTCGAATGATGTTAAAGATTGAATTAGTAAGATGCACTGAGGTGGGAGAAGGATATTTTGACTATGTGTTGTAGTTGTGATTTTTGTAAAAAAATTGTTGATAATTTTCGCTCAAATCTAAAAAATAAATTGAATTTGGACTTGATCACCAATCACGGAAAAAATTGCTCCTACTCTCATTATAAATTTAAATAATCACACGGTAGTTCTCCATTACTGGCTTAAATATTATTCACTTTTTTTAAATAAAGTTGCACATTTTATGAAAAGACTCAATTTTTTTAACGGTATACCTGTTATTGACTTTTTGCAATATTTTTTATTTAATATAAGCATGCGACGTAGTCAGCTCAGTTGAAAGAGAAATTTAAAAATAGTTTAACTAATTTTAATTTTTTAATAGCATATAGTATGATACGAGTTTTATAAGAAACATTTTGTCACACGCACGGGTTTACGATACGAGCGCAGCAAAGAGTGTCATAAAGCAATAAGTGCGACAAAATGCCTTATAAACTAGATATTATACAGTATTATTTCTACTTTGCCCTTTTTAAACAAAAAAAAATCCCACGACTTTCCTTATCCTACTTATTGGGAAAACATCCTAACGACAAATTCATATTGTACCTAACCTCACTTTTTTAACCAAGGTAAAATAATGCCATAAATTTATGACACCACTACTTCGATGCAATTTATGCACATAGAATTTCGTTATAACTAGCGAGTTAAGGCGAAGTAGCGCCGAAGTAAATCGACGACTTAACTTAACGTGAGTCGCGGGTTCGAGTCTGGGGTGCTGTTTTTTACTGTTTAATAAGGTATATTTCATAATTCTAAATAATTTGTATCCCCATAAATTTATTGTATCTTCAACCGTAAAATTTTGCGGCCGCTTTACGGCTGACTTTTGGTCTTTGCAGCCAAACGGTGCGACCGATATCATAGGGCGACAAAAAAGGGCATGTCGTGACAACTTGACATATTATACAAGGTTATTCATAAATATGAAGCAATATTTGAACCTCAAAAATAACCTATATGATGTTAATTTAAATAATAACTCGTGTCCTATCTCTACTGATAAGAATCGAACGGGGGTATGGAAATTTGTTTTTTTTTAATATCTTTGGAACTATGTGAACAAATTTTATAAAATTTGGAACATTTCCTTGCGACAACATACCTTTTGAAGTAGTAATCACGAAAACCGGATACATCTACTTAATTTCCGGTTCCAGCAGTTGCAGGTCACATTTTCTGTGTTTTTCCATATTTTTGCTCTCTTAGCACCAATTTTTCATTGCTCATATCCATACAGTAATCAATTTCGAATAAAAAACGCATAACCTTCCCCCTAAAATGGACCGTTTCAAAGATATTTTAATTTAAATTGAGGACTGCATAACAATGAAATCAAAAAGTATGGATTTTGAATGGATGATATCCACGGCAACAAATGACCATGGTCTAACAAATCGCTGTAAGGCATCCGTCAACTTTGATATTGGACGATTATTGGGCTATTAATCGAAAATATTTAATAAATGAGTTTAACTCAGGCTCCAAACATAACCTACAATAAATCCAAATCATCTCTGTGTGAAAAAATTCACAAAAATATATCACTGTCCAATTATTATTAGTTCCAATCGGTTTCATGAATTAAGGATTAAAGACACATGTGCTTGATACAGCCACTTAAATCCTTAAAACTTCACAATAACGTATCTATATAAGGAGGCAATTATACTAACTTATGTTTCGAAGACAAAACGGTACCACAATATTTTTTGAATCACATTCATTCACTATTTATTTGTATGATTTTGTAATAACAACGTTGTTACTCGTATTATTGACTCAATTATTTTTGCATTTTGTGTTGTTTTCTTCTTAAAACATCATCATCAATATCAGTCGATGTCTTCAGCCTAAAAAAACTTTTTCACCAGACTTTTTTAATTTACACACATAAATTATTCACATTACAAAATGTAATGCGAATAATTTAACTAATCAGTAGAAAAACAATTTTTTTAATAATAAGGTATTCTCAATTTAATTTAGCTGATATTAGGTCAGCATTGTTTTCCGTTTTCAAACCCGACCCTACCCCAGATTAATATTTTTTGTTCACTGTTTATTGACTGTTACCTGTATTCTGTGACCTATTGTCTGTTATGACAGTGAACTTGCGTCCTGTATTTATTACAAGTGTTTCATTATGTTTTTTACATGCTATCAATATCGTAATATTATTTCAAAATTTATTAAAATTTCTCTAAATGAGTCATTTTGTTCTACTTGTATCATTTTTCTCGTCCAAAAAGTGTGTAAATTAAAAAATACATTTTGTAATGTAAATAATTTATGTGTGTAAATTAAAAAAGTCTGGTGAAAAAGTTTTTTTAGGTTATGTTACACTGGTTAAAGACATCGACTTATTTACTGATATTGATGTTTTAAGAAGAAAACAACACAAAATGCAAACATAATTGAGTCAATAATCGGAGTAACAAAGTTGTTATTACAAAATCATAGAGAAGTGAATGTGATTCAAAAAATATTGTGGTGCCGTTTTGTCTTCGAAACACAAGTTAGTAATTGCCTCCTTATAGGTACGTTATTGTGCAGTTTTAAGGATTTAGTGGTTGTATCAACTACTTGTGTCTTTAATCCTTAATTCATGAAATAAATACCTACCGATTGGAACTAATAATAATTGGACAGTGTTAAATTTTTGTGATTTTTTTATAATTACTACGAAATCGATTTGGATTTATTGTAGGTTATATTTGGAGCCTGAGGTAAACTCTTTTATTAAATATTTTCGATTAATTGTCCATTAATCGTCCAATGTCAAAGTTGACAGATGGTTGACAGCGATTTGTGAGACCATCATTTGTTGTCGTGGATTAAATTAAAATATTTTTGAAACGGTCCATTTTAGGGGTTTAAAGGTTATGCGTTTTTTATTCGAAATTGATTACTCTATCGATTTGGGCAATAAACAATTGGTGTTGAGAGCAGAAAAATGGAAAAACACAGAAAATGTGACCTGCAACTGCTGGAACCGGAAATTGAGTAGATGTATCCGGTTTTCGTGATTACCTGTTCAAGGGTATGTTGTCACCAGGAAATGTTCCAAATTTTATGATATTTGGTTAAATAGTTCCAAAGTTATTACAAAAAAATCAAATTTCCAAACCCACATTCCGAGGACTGTAAAATTCTTATCATTAGAGATAGGACACGAGTTATTATTTAAATTAACATCATTTTAGGTTCAAATATTGGTTCATATTTATGAATAACCTTGTATATCATTTTGTTCGTCTCAGTGAGACGAATCAAATGCATTAAAAAAATTTTTGAACTAAATAATTTTTTTCTAATTTAAATGAATTTAAAATACTTTAACGTCAAGAAATCATTAATCAATAACTATTTGGCCGATTTCCTTAAAATAAAAATCATTCTAAAGTGATGGACTTGCCCTTTAGTATGATATGCAGTTGGAAATTTAATATTGGAGAATTTTTCTTAGAACAGTGAACTTCTTCGAGTTCAAAGTAAATCGAAATAGTCTAAGAAAAAACCTACCAGTATTTTTTTTTTCATCATTACCATCGTGTAGAACATCTCTTTATTAGTTGAAATCCAAATTTTTAAAAGAATATACCGAGTAGTTTTGAAGATATGATTTTTTGAAGTTAAGGTTTGTTAATCAAACATTGCGTCATATAGGAGAAATGCATGTTAATCTTACTTAAAATTGCATTTTAAAGTATTTGTTTTTGCTTAAAAATGGTCAAATTTATCTTTGTTCAAATTGGAATAAACAAAAACTGTTTGTTTACTTAAAATAAACAAAGAGTACCTGTGTACTAATTAAAACAAATAAAAAATTTCTTTGTTCTTAAAATGACCACTAATCTCTAAGCAAAAATGATCTAGGAGTTTAAGCCTTAAGTATAAGGGCAAATCTTTTTCAAATCAAATCACTTTCCATTCAGATTCCGAATTGTTCACTTTGTTCTAGCTTTTTAAACATTTTTTTGTTCTGAGCAAATGCTTTCTCATCTGATAACTCACTTTCGAGTGATGTTAAATGCAATAAGTCACCTGATTTATTTTGTTGGTACATTCTACGATCAGCCTCAGTTAGGTTGTAGGTAGTCGTTGTGATAACAGTTACACACGAAGCAAAATAAATCAGGTGACTTATTGCATTCAACATCACTTGAAAGTGATGAGAAAGCATTCGCTGAGAACATATTCAAAAAAAGTTCAAAAAGTTAGTAGATAACTCAAGATATCGATTGTGAAGCTCCCAAAAATCAAAATTAAATTTTACTTAAATTAAAAAATCGAAAATTTTAAAATTGGACCAAATTTAATAGTTCTAGCAACTTAAAAGAGCGTACAAAACGTTATTGAGTTGACTTTGAAAAAAACTGAATATCTTG